ATGGGATTTGCCCATTAACAAGGCCTAAGAGTCTCCAAATTAAATTATGCCACATCTGTGATATTATCTTAAAACAATTGGCGTATAAACAGTGGCAGTAGAATTACAAGAGCTGTCTGCTGTTCCTCAAAGTTAATTTGCTTTCCCTTAGTTGTTTTTCTAGGAACAACAAGGAGTACATGATACCCACCATCTTCAAGCAATATGCTGTTTTCTTCCAAGGATTATGTACTTATTTTGAGAAAATACTTTTATTCTAAGATGAATTTATGAATAACACTGTTTTGGTGCTCTCACATGTTTGCAGATCATATGCTTCGTTTTTCCCATTAGAGATGGCAGAAACTCCTTTAGTTGCATCCGTCAGTAATACTCATGATTTATCTATGTGGTGTCAATACCATAACATGTTTCCTGGTTGTAATTAGTGTTTAAAAGCATTGGAAGTGTTACGCAGGGTCATGAAAATGCTCTATCGATGCTCAGATATTTTTCTTAGAAAATGAAATTTTTAAGATAGCATAATGATCTTTATCCAGTATGCTGTTAAGATATCGTTACAGTGCTCAACTTAGGAAAAGAGGAATAGGCCCCCAAACACTTCCAATTTCCTTTAGTTACCTCTTTCTAATGTGATTCCTCTAAATCAGGAGTTGACAGTCTAAAGCCTATGGGCCAAATCTGGCCTGCCTCCTCTTTCTGTAAATAACAGTTTACTGGAAAATAGCCACAATTATGAGTGTTTTTATTGTCTATGGCTGCTTAGGCATATGGCCCACCAAACCTAAAACATTTACCATGTGGCCCTTTGCAGAAAAAGTTTGCTGACCTACTTTAAACCCTTTATAAACCTGTTTATGTTTTCAGCTAGCCACGGGATAATCCATCCCACTCAGGGGTTACCCATGGTTACCTTGGACCCCTTGGTTCTCACTGCATTGGGGGATCTGCTCTGCTTCTGTAGCCCTCTCTGCTTCCATCTCTCCCTCCCACAGTACTCCAGTACAATGCCTGTCTCCTGGACGGGAAGAACAGGAGCAACTTCTTACTCTCCTTTGCTATTCCCAGAGCCTAGCACATTGTCCACACTTAACTCGTGATCAGTGTTCATTGAATGAACAAATGATGAAAATTTCTTAGTCATAACATAAAGCAGCATTTTTATAGATATAGTTTCCCTGAGACTGAATAATCTAAAAACTACTTATTTCTAGTTATAACAGGGTTTTTAAAACAGGATTTTACCTTTGTAATTATATTTCCTTTGGGTTCATATGAAAATTAGTTTACATTAAAGATGTTTACATTTCTCCAGCTCACATCCAACATTAGTTCTAACTATGCTAGATATTAAAGATAAACCTCTGAATTAAAAAAAAATCTTGCAGACTATCCTAATCTTGTATAGATGATTAGAAAGTAAATGAATGTTGTCTCCATTTTGTCAAGCTCTTAGTACACAGAGGTGGCTGATACGAAGGCCTGGTTTATTATTTATTTACTCATTCCAGCAAGTGCTTATTAAGTGTCTCTGGTGTGGTAGGCAGTGGTGAAACAGCAGTGAACAGGACAAAGTCTTTGCTCTTGTGGAGCTTACGTTCTCATCCGGATAGGTGGTAAGCAACCGAGAAAACTACCAGCTGGTAGCAAGGGCTATGGAAAGATTTAAAGTAGGGTGATGTAAGAGTGAGTAAGCAGGTAGAGTTCTCCTTTGAGAAAGTGGCATTGGAATTAGAATCTGAGTGATAAGAAAGAAGCAGCCATGTAAAGATCATGGGGAATTGAATTCTAGGCAGAACACACAGTCAGGACAAAGACCCCATATCTGGGAAAGAGCTTAGTGTGTTTGAGGAACAGAAAGGAGCAAATGTGGCAGATATTTAGTATGCAAGAGAGGGGTGGGGAAGGAGGAGGTTCTGGAGGTAGGTAGGCAGTACTCAGGTTGTAGCCTGGGGTAAAGTGAAGACATAGGCTCTTTTCTGCTCCAGTTTTAAAGGAACTGAGGGAAGACAGTTGATCCTGACATTCTGATGCCCAGTTAGTGCCTAGAATAGCCTGAGGAGAGTATTGGATAGTGTGGGGGATCAGAATTGGCCACCCCAAAATGTGTCTTTTTGGCGTGAGGATTATTTTGGGCTGGTTACTTTTAAAAACTGCAGACAGGTGAGAAGCTCTGCAAACCAAGTAGAAGTTACCCTTTGTAAGAGACATTTGCATTTGTAAGGGAAATCTCCATCTGTAAAGATGTCTCCCTCTCTGTACCAGGAAGAAGGGGGGGATGACCTTATCTCTAGAAACTCTTATCAATGATGGAATGCAAGGACTTAAATCTGCTTAGTAACCTTACTCTTGTTTACTGTGCTTTTCTGGTAATCTCCCACAACTGACTCCCCCACCCCCAACATCCTCCTTTGTCTTTAGCTGAAGATGGTATTAAGATGAGAACCTTCGCCATCTTTGTGAGTTACTCAGTTTTTCCTGGGTCTCTCCCATGTATACATGTTATAAAGTTTTGTTTGATTTTCTCCTGCTATTCTGTCTCATGTGAATTTAATTTGTAGCCCAGCCAGATGGACCCAGTGGGTAGAGGATATGTCTTCCTCCCCTACAATAGTGAGTCTGCAGTTGGCCAGGTCAGCTACTCACATAGCACCCATGAGCTCCTGAGCCCCACCCTGTGTAACTCCAGACCCATTTACCTCCCTGTAGAGCCCTGCGGAGCCTATCTATGTGGCCGTTTCCAGGTTGAGATAACTGTTTGGCCATCCTCTGGGTCCCAACAGACAAAGACAATGATCACTGACGTGAACTCCTGCCCAAGTAGACACCCTTGAAAGTCATCTATATTTCATCTTATTATCATTTGCCTAGAAGTGTGTGTGTGTGTGTGTGTGTGTGTTATATGCAGATAAGATGTCTTTTTAACAAAGAGTTGGATTACAGGGAGTATATATGTCAGGACAATGTTGTCTAAACAGGCTGGTGAAAAATATTCAACTAAATGAGAATGTGTTGAGCCTATTTAACTGTTTACTGACATGTTGTATTGCTATTATTAATGTTTAGTTAAAGTAACAAATGTATATGATATAAGCCCCTGTGATTAAGTGTGCACAGGATAAAACATCTGATAGATTCAGCCATTTTGATTCAATTCCATAAACATTTTGATTGATGAAACATTGAGTCTAGCCAATCCTTAGCATCAGACAAGCAAAATGGACAATAATATAAGACTTTTTTATGGCATTGAAAAAGAAAATGTTCAGATGTCATTGATATTACTAAAGTTACAGTAGATACAGATTGTTGATTCATTCCACCAGTTTTCACAGTAAGCAGTTGTTTAAACACAATGTCCTTCCTTCCCCATCTAGTTGCTGTGTGCAGACATAGCCTACCACAGCAATTATGGATATTGTTGGAAGCCTGCAAAGTTGTCATCTTGCTGTGGTTTGGTGAAGTCAGGGCCTAAGGGAGGGTGTAAATTAAAGCAAGGAGGAGGAAGATGGGGAAAGGTCTCTTTTAACAAAGAAAAAGCAACTCAGTGGGAGTGGAGGCTGGCATTCTGCTAAAAGGAAATGAAAGGAAATTCTTCATTTCTAAACGGTTCATTGACCCATGATAATAAAGCAGCCCTGCCAAAGAAGGATAATTATCTTTTTAAGTATCAGATGCCCTGTGGGTGAAGGCCTCCCTTCTCCTCTCTTGAAAAATGAACTCAGATTAAACAAATGCTCCTTTTCCTAGTTTACAGTTGACATGAATTTTTTGATTATGAGTGAAATTAATCAGTTTCCCCCCCTTTCTTTTTTCTCCCTTCTCTTATGGAAATCAGGCCCGCCCAGCTGAGCTTAGTGCATTTCCCCTTGGGCCCTGAGTTCTACCAACAGTATGATGCGCTAAAATGCTTGATATTCTGGTGAGACCAGCAATTGCAGAATTGTGATTTTATTATGCCCCTTAGCTGCTTAGCTCCAGGCAGAAGCATGGTCTCCTAAAACAACAAGAAAAAAGGAAAAAAGAAAGAAAGAAAAAAGATCATCAGAGTGTTTTTTCTCCTACTGGTACCTGAAAACTAAACAAAAATTAATATATGTGTGTATGTGTATACATATGTATGCACACATGTATATGTATATACCCACACATATATGATGAGTTCAAATACAAAAAGGAACTGAAATTTTATTGATGATATAACATTGAATATTTATATGCTACCAGCAAATGATCAAACTTACATCTTTTTTCTCTAGACCTGTTGTTCGTTCAGACCAATGTAAACACGTTGACTTAAGAGAATGTATTAAAATGGTGTTGTTTGTATAAGCAGACAACACTTTTCTTAAATTAATGATTTAACTTCAACTGTCTTCTTGAATTCTTAATAATCAGTCTGAGGAACCCTTGTCATAAATTACTTAACCACGAGGTGCATCTCTTGGTTATAGATGAAGTTCACAGTACATTTTCAGAATGTCTACGCTCCTTTTAAAAATAAAATAAATAAAACAACTACTATTGTGTTTTTATTATATATTTCTCTAAAGAGGTATTGAAATTAAAATTTTAGTCATGATGCTCTACGTAGAGAAACCAACTGGATATTCCAGTTGCTTTTGTAACCCAGTGCTTTTGGCTGCCTGAGAAGATAGAGCTTTAGAACAGGAGTCAGGAAATAATAGTCCAGAATAGATCTTGCCTCTTGGCATAATTATCTCAGCCAGCACTTGAGTCTCTCTGAACACTAATGTCCCTTTTTCTTAAAGGAATTTCTCCAGCACACCACAGCTTCTCCTTCAAAGTATAATTAACCATGTTTGTAAGCTCTCTTTGAACTCCTTGGAGTTCGGTGTTGGTAAATATTTGTTCTTTTATTCCTTAGTCTTTGAGGGTTCAGGCCCTGGGCCAAGAGGATTCAATACTGTGGGTATAAACTTCTTGGTAAAAATACTACCCAAAGCCAGCAGAGTGTGCCTTAACAGACCTCACTGCAGATGTCCTCGTGTGTCCTCTTCGGCCAGTGGAGCGTTTCCGAGACCTGCGTCCTGAGGAAGTGGCCGATTTGTTTCAGGCAACCCAAAGAGTCGGGACAGTGGTGGAGAAGCATTTCCAGGGGACTTCTCTCACCTTTTCCATTCAGGTGAGTGTACGGATAGCTCAGAAATTATTTTTCTTCCTTTTCAAATCCTAGCATTGGGCTCTCTCCCTTTTAAGCTGACATCCCACTGGGAAGGCAGCTATGATTGTTCATGTTTTATATAAGAGCAGAAAAAAAAGTTACTAATCCAGGACCAGCCCACTGTCCATCAGCCCCAAGGTGCACTGTGGAATATCAGCTGAGGTGATGTTTGCAGTGTTGTTTACAAAGCAAATGGGAGTAATGGATGAGTGACTTAATGGGCATCAAAACATTTCAGATCTTTTACTAGAACTGGGGCTGGACAAGTCATTTTCATTCCATGATAAATATGTTTCCAGCACTGCATGGGCCCAGCCCTGCTCTACTTCCTGGGGAGTTGAGATAGGCAAGTTAGGTGGGGCCTTACCCTTAAAGGGCTGACCTTTCTCTTTAATTCAAGCCCTGGTGATTGATTATGGATTGCTAAAAAGCTGGATTGATTGACTATTCTATATGGCCCGCTTCCTAGTAGAGAAATGAGAACCCCAATCACTGGAGATTTTTAGGCAGAGGTTGAGCCAACACTTATTAGTGTGGGAGGAGGAGGTCCATGGTGGATCATCAGCTGTAGGCATTGAGTAAATCAACAGTAACGTACCATGGGCTCCTTCAGATCCTCCACGGAAAGAGCTGAGGGTATCAATACACAATTAAAATTCTTTGTGGTCTTGAAATTTGATGACCCCGCAATAACCCTGTGGAAAGAAATGGATCATTCCATAACGTGAGACCTTGTCCTCAGTGCTTTAGTTAAACTGAATATTTACCATCCTTCCTCTACCCTCTTCAGTTCTCCACCACAGACCTTCAAAGAGAACAGATAAAGAAGACCACTGTTTTCAGGTTATGAAAGGCTCTGACTAAAAATGCTCAACTGCTTCTTAAAAACAAATTTTGCCACCATGTCTGTGTTGAGAATATCTAAACTTACCTATAAAATACAAGGGGTGTGTGTGTTGTATGTCAAACCATTTGAGTCACCTTCACACAGGTAGTGAAGCTCAGGGTGGCTTCATCAAGCTTATACTACAAATCATGTTTCCAGAGAGACCAAATGAAGGCAAGTGGGTGAAGACATCTGTCAGTGTTTAATGAAATACTAGAAGAAAATTAACATTCATAAAAAATGGCCAGTGCTGGTTATCTAACATGATTCACTAGAAAATTAATTTCATCAATATAGGAACTGACTTGTGCGTAGCACTTCGAGTACTTTCATATATGCAGGGTTTTCGAACTTTTTTAAGGTTTAACCCACATAAGATATTGTTTCACAATCATGTGTACCCTGTGCAACATACACATATATAGATAAAGGAAATCAAAGTTTCACAAAACAATGTTTACCCATTTTATGGACTCTAATAGTTTTTGTTCTATTATCTGATTTCTTTTGTTTTTAGTGCTGATCACGCCCATTAAGCTGACTTCACGACTCATTAGTGGGTTGTGACTCCCAATTTGAAAACCACTAACTACACAGTTCTGCTTAATCCTGGCCACAGCAGGGTGAGAATTCTCACCCCATTAGTCTGGGTCATTTGCCTGAAGTTGCAAAGTTCTAATTCAGTTGTGAAATTTCTGATTGTAAAGACATTGCTCATTCTGCTATCCCAAACCAGCTGAGCACTTGCTTGTATTGTGATTGGTGAGTAGGGGAGTTTCCTCATTTTCAACTAAGCAATTAGTTTTGTTGCGCTTCAGAAAGCTGAGAGAAGAAACTAGGATGGGAATAGGGCCCAGATGCAATGAATACTCCCACTTTCTCCCTCAAGATCACAACAGCCAAAGAGGGCCCACTCTTGGATGTTCTTCCCATATAAGACAGTCCATATTCTTGCTTAATGGATTATGTTTATGTAAGACAGTCCATATTCTTGCTTAATGGATTATGTTTATGGCAGATTTCCTTAGGAGAGACTGCAAGTAATCAGACATTAATTAAACTATATCTGATTTAAAGATAACTAAAAAGTGTGATACTTCACCTCCCCAAATGTTTTCAGCCTTCTTTTAATGCAATTAAAACCATAGCCAAGAGCAAAGAGCGTGAAAAGTAGCAGGGGGGTTGGCTTACTGGATAATTTATATCATTTTTATACATAACTTCTCACTTACTCTCAGGCGGAAATGGAGAACTGTCTGGTCCTATGCATTTGAAGTGAATGGTCCCCATGAGAATACTATAAATTAACACACAATGAAATTGGATCTAAATTATTAACAGGCGATATTTCTGAATAAGCAGGAGATACCATCTATCTGTTCTCACCTCTGTTGGGTTTTTTTCTACTTCTAGGATGGCCCGGAAGCTGGACAAACTGTGAAGGTGAGTGCTTCTTATGTGCATACAAATTAATAAGGGGCAATTATGAGAACTAATAAAAAATCACAGTGAGTCATTGGCAGCACATTGCTGTTTCATTATGTTATTTTCGAGGTCAGAGAGACCCTCAGTGTTAGAGCCATAAATCCTCACATTATAAACTATGCCAAGCAATATGTTTCCCATTAGTGTACAAGGCATTTACCTTTTGTAGTAAAATTATTATTGTGCAAATGCTAAAACAGAAGCTAAATCAAGGTGTCCTAACAGAAACTGAAGTAAAAGAGGTTCATATGAGGTAGTGTCTAGGAAAGAGCACAAATGCCATGTATGGATTTGTGGGTCCCATTTTAAGCCTGGGTGTCTTGGACATGCCTTCCAGTTCTTTATATGGTCTATTTTTGCCTCATCTTCTTGAGTGAAGGGCTAACTGATGTGGTAGCCCCACGGTTCTCCTTCACTCCTTGCTCTGTGCTTCTCTCCACCCCCACACCTATGCTTTTCCTCCCTTTGTACTTAATACCAAAGTTCTAACCTAATGGAGTCAGTGGAGCTCAAAGATGGATTTTTAAGTGTACTTGAAGAGGAAAGGAGGATTTATTAGGATAGTCTCTGCTTCTCTAGTAAAGTGAAATAAAAGAATAAAATCCCGGCTGATTCTGGTTTCAGCCCCTTTCATACAAATGTAAATTCTTATGCAGTTATGTCCTATGCCTAAATCATAGAAAAGGCCTTTTTTTTTTTTTTTTTTTCCTGGTGCTAGAAATCAGAAGTAAGTCGAGCTGGGGTGCTAATGTTATACTTTGCAAAATCAGATTTTATGGCTCTGACACTGCCTGTGAGCAGATAAGGTAATGCTTGGCACCAAACAGTGCCAAATAAACATAGTTCTCTTTTGATCTTAGTTTGCATATTGGTTTAATGTTTAACATAGCTATCATGAGACTTTTAAAAGAGAATGTCTGGCAAGTACTTTTGAGGGGCAAATGTCCTAGAGGAACCACCACCAAATTCCTTATGATAAAAGAAAGAGCTAGCTTTCTGATTGTTCCTGACACAGGATGTGATAGTATTACCACCCAAAAAGGAGGTTCATCTGCCCTCTGCAAGACATGCCAATAGTCAAGAGGCAAGGTGGTAGGAGAAAAAGGACTTATTTTATTACAGCTTGCTAGCAAGAGGGAAGATGGCCGACTAATGTCCAAGAGAACCATCTTAAAAGGGCACAAAATCTTACAACAGTTATATGGGCCTGAGAGTTATAGGGGAGGGGGCTAGGAATGTAACACATTCTAGTGTTACAGGCTGGGAGTCGCCACACCAGCTCTTTTGGTTTTCATTGGTGATGGCTATTAGCATAGATCCTCTGTTGGGGGTCATCACATTCCTAAGGAACTCAAAAGAACAAAGTTATCATCTTATCGCAGCTGGGAGGTACATGCATACGCAGGGGTTGTAAAATCAACATAGCAGTTAGATCTCCTGGAGGGTGCATATCCAGCTGGGTTAGTTTGTCAGAGGTCATTCAAAGTTACAACAGAGTTTTTCTTTTCTACAATATGGCTTCACTTATGTCAACCTTTTCTTGAGCCGGTATCAATAGGGACAGAGGGGACTCACGGCCTTCCTCCACTCCACTGTCCACCCCTATGCCAGGCTTCTAAATATGCAGATGCGAAAAAAGAGTAGAATAAAAGTAGCTTCTTTTTGAAATTGTTTCTTCAACATGCAAAACACAAATATTTAAACCTAGTTACTAGTTTTTACAAAACTCAATCTTCAAATGTAAATTCGAACAACACCAGATTAATTAGATGTATTATGGGATATCTATTTGATGGAATTCCTTCAGTACTTGAAAGTAACGCTGCAGAGGCATAGTTAGTAACATAGGAGAACGCATAAACCATATCAAGTGGTTGATAATCTGCACGTACTAAACATACCTAATATTTATATGAGTATATCTAGGTTATATGCTGTCAAGATTTCATTTCAGAATTCTGAAAGGAGCGTTAAAGATATTTCCTATTCCTAGACAAGCAGGCATTGAATAGACACAGAAAGTAGATGAATGGTTGCCAGGGGCTGGAGAAGGAAGGGAATGGGAGTCACGATGTGTGGGTAAGGGCTTCTTTTTGGGGAGATGAAAATGTTGTGGAATTAGATAATAACGATGGTTTTTGCAACATTGTAAATATTCTAAAAACTAATGAATCGTATACTTTAAAAAGATGAATTTTATGGTATTTCAATTACATCTCACTTAAAAATAATAGTAAAATAAAACACACACAAAAAGCACCAAGTCTAGCAGGGCTGAGCACCATGGCTATAGACTCTTGGACTCCAATAGTGACTATATGTTTGTTTGTTTTGTTTCGTTTTTTTCTTTATTTTTTTATTGATGTGATAATAGTTTATAACATTGTGAAATTCCAGTTGTACATTGTTATTTGTCAGTCGCCATATAAATTCGTCCCTTTACCCCTTGTGCCCACCCTCCAACTCCCTTCCCCCTGGTAACCACCAAACTGTTCTCTCTGTCCGTGTGTTGGTTTATATTCCACATATGAGTGAAGTCACACAGTGTTTGTCTTTCTCTGTCTGGCTTATTTCAATAGTGACTATTTTTTGATGTCCCAATTATCTGGCTAAAATTTTTAATGGTTTTCTTAGTTTTGATAGTGAGGATGATGGAGTAATTCTTGGTGTATAGTACTCATATATGAATTGTCAAATATGGTTGTTGTTATCACCACCATTATTACTTAGCTTAAATTGATTTTTTTTTATAGCTCTATTTTTTTTAATCAGCAGATTATATTGTTTTGGACATCTTTCAACCTGATCACAAAATTTCCCCAGTGTGAATTAGCAGAGCCATCTCAAATCCTTTGTGGAATATAACATGGCTAAAAGAAAATAACTGTATATATACATATAAAAACTTCAATGCATGACAAAGTTTTGAAAACTGTCCCTTTAGAATCTACGTATCTAAAGTTGTCTAATCTATGTTTTTCCAAGTGTGATTCTTATACTATGTACCTGAAAATTGAGTGTGGCGTTAGTTTAAAAAAAAATTGATCCTCAGGTTTTATTCTAAACCTACTGATCTAGAATTTTTGTGGTTGGGGCTTGGGAACCCTCATTGTTAACAAGCACACCCTGTGGTTCTTTTGAGTGTAGATATTGACCAGTCTCGCTATTTTACGGTGATAAAATAGCAGGTGGTGATGGCCGCATAAGCTTGACCCATGGAAGCCAGTTTTGTGTAGCCAGCCCCTCCAGGGAGCAGAGCAGCATCTTCCGTAGTCAGCTGCTCGGTTCTGAGAATTACAATTCCAGACTGAGCATTTCATATTTTGAAATCCACACAGTTGCGCATTTTGAGGCAGCATTTGACAGCCTGCCATGGCAGCGCAGTGACTGTTCTCTTCATCTTTGCCTTGTGTCTCACTCTTGGTATTCGTGTGATGCCTGGGTTCTAAACCATTTTTGTCTCATGCTGGGTGGTAATAGCAATAAGCCCAGTAATGATCTCTGCCCCCAGCAGCTCTTGTTATTGTTAGTGAGGGTTCACCACTGAGTTCGCCTCATGAACATGGTGCCACTTTCCGGTTTTTTGTTTTAGGGGCTTTAAATTCTGCTTCTCAAAGAACAAGGGTGGCCTTGCTTTCTCAAGAAGGCATTTGTAGCAGGAAATTGAAATATCGAAGTAAAAAAGTGACCTCTTATTTCTGGATTCATTATTAACTCTCCTTTTGAGTTTAAAAGCACTGCTGTCCACAGGTGATTATCGCAGGCATTTGGAGAGCCCACAGGCTTGAGAAACAGTCTCTTTCTTCTTGTTTCAGCCATATATCACTTTATGCATATACATATCACCATATGCGTACATTACAGAGGTATCATCACTGTGTTATCAGCCTTCCTGATCTCCCCCCATCTGAAGTAGCCCTCCTAAACCTGTCACTCCCTATCCTGTTGTCTTATTTGATTTCCTTCAAGGCATTCTTCACTGACTTTTGTTTGTGTTTGTTTTTGTTCCTATACCTATGTTGTTTCCTTAATCCCTCCAGGTTGTCAGCTTTGGTCCTTGTTTACTTTGACTCTTTGAGGTGGTGTGGGGAGGAGAACAGAGATGATAATGGTGCTTCACTTCATAGAACAAATCTCTGCTCCTAAGTTTCTAATTTCAGTTAATATGAAGTAGCAGATAACATGTACTTGTATTCCAGCGTGCAGTCAGGGGTCTGAGTTTCCTGGAATTTCTGTCGAGAACCTCCTATCTTCCAGGTGTCACTGACAACGACTGAAATTTCCACTAATCTAGTTCCCAAATCATTCTCCAAAATGTAATTCCGACTAGCCAAATCATTAAGGCAATGCTCAGTCCTTTCAAACAGATGCTGCTTAGTAAGTTTAATGTGAGCTATCTTTTGGAGCAATTACTGTGTACATCTTTGGGTGGGAGGGTGTTTTAGGTATATTAAAGAGAGAGATTTATGACAGGCAGCTAATCTAGAATCTCACAAGTACTATTTATAGAATATGCTTGCTTACACTCTTCTGTGTTTATGGTGCTTGAATCCTCTACTTAGATATTTAATTTTGCAGTATTAATGCAGTGGGAAGTGTCTCTTAATAACTGTTGATATATTAGCAATTACTTTTCAGATTGCTTGGGAAAGAACAAAAAAAGGAATTCTTTAAAGAAGTGTTATTTAAAAAATTTAAAAAATCTCTTCCATTTGCTGAGGCGTTTATATGGTCCCAGAACAGATTTTCCACATGAAGATTTGGTAATCCTTTTGATTCATGAACATAGAGGATATTTTATCTCTTAATAAAGTCCAGTAGTTAACACACTGGCATCAGTCAGATGTTCCGTAGGAATATTTGCTCTACTACTTGATTGGCTGTGTGACTTTGGGCCAGCCTCTTAACCTCTCTGAACATCCATTTCCTCATTTGCAAATGAGGGAAACCCTATCTGT